AAAAATATAAAACATTCTTACAATTCGAGTAATTTATTTTACTGAAATATTACGACAATTTCATTATAATATAGTTTTTATCAACAAATAATAATTAAATAGAGTGTAGTTTTGTTATTTCAATTTCTACACTTATTAAATATTGTGTAATATTAACATTGTTTTAAAAACATCAACAGGTTCTTGTTGCTAAACGATATAAAAATATTAATGTAATGGTATAAAAGCACGTTTTAACTTTTAAATAACATATGTTCGCTCTTCTTTTAATAACGTTAGCTTCAGCAAAATACATTGTCGATACCAATGATGATGGATCTTATTCAGTAACAAAATTAGGCCAGTGTTATTATGGAGGTTCCAGTGCATACTATAAATTTGAAGAAGATGGTGATAATATTATTGGATATGCTTCAGCAAAATGTGGCGATTGGGGAAAAAAAATCCTAAGCCTTTAGATGGTTACAAAAGCCAAAGCAACTTGCCAGAGTATTATTTTGTTGAATATTATCATTATGAATTAAGTGACTGTAAAATCAGTGATAGTCATGGTCATCCCGAAGAAATATTATATCCACAATGCGTTAAAAATTTGGACGATACAACCTCTTCTTTTAAAGCAGAAATAAAAGATAACAAATTAACAATGACACCATATAAAACAGAAGACTGCACTGGAGATGCTGATACCACTCAAGAAGCCCAAGTTTTTGAACTTGAAAAATGTTTAACCAATACTGATATTTACTACACTTATTCTGCAAGTGCATTTGAGATCTTTGCATTCCTTGCATTTATCATTGCGTTCTTGTTTTAAAAATTAAAACAATTTGCTTTGGTTTTTGTTGTTATATTATAAATGTTATGTATAAACGGTTGTGTTTAAATTTTCAATATTTATAACAAGTTGGTTATATAATATTAATGTATATAAACTCTTATAATACAACAATTAAAATTATTTATAAACAGAATTAAAATTAAATTAAACATTTAAATTAATAAATACATAAATAGTTATTGTTATCAAAACATGTTTTTTTAAATAATTATTGGATACTTTTAATAAAAATATTTGTGACATTGAATGTTAATCGTTCTCATAACTTCAAGTGTAATTACTTCAACATTGTGTAAAAACGAAAAAATACATACAAACTAAATTTATTTAAATTAATTCGAACCACTAAGATACATAAAGTTATCAACTATTAACGAATTTGTAAAAGTTAATAAATATATTAAATATAGTAAAATATTATTTTGTTTTATATATATTTTAATAAAACACAAAAAACCATACTAATTAACCACTTTGTGAAATACCGAGGTTTTGTTGTTTTTAAACAACAAAAAACTATGTTGTCCCAAAGATGAGAGTGGGAATAATAGTTCTCCTTCACCTACATATCAAATTCAAATTAAAACCACTAAAAAACAATCGTACACTGCACTGGATATGCTGATACAATATATCAGCATACTAGTTAAAAAATAATATTATTTTTGAATAATATCGACCAACAACAAACTACAAATAAAATATACAGTAAAATTTCCCAAGATCCGTACTTCGAAAAAGCGGTCATTTTTTAGACTGAAACTATAAATAGAGTTCTCTATCAAGTGGTAATTAATGTTTGATTGGCTAAAAATGCCCGCTGTTGAAAGAACAAAATTACCACGCCCTTCGCTTTTGGGAAGTTTTACTATATCACAACAACAATTTAACAAATTTGTTATTAATAACAATTTATATATATATATATATTCATAAATGGAATAACAATGACATTTACGTTGGTTGAAATGTACTTGATTGTGAATTTATTTTTAAATACTCATAGTACATCACCAAATACTAACATTTTTATCGGCTTGATAATATCTGTTTCAAGATTTCTAGAGTTATTCTTGCATACATCCCGAAAATTTATAAAAATTATATCTTCAATATAATATCTTATTTAAATGTATTCTTAATTGCTAATTAGTTTGAATAATATCCTTGTGCAGGAAAAATGTTAAAAAAATAAAGCGGGTATAACAGTCTCTTTAAAAAGACCAAACAACAAAAAAATAAAAAATAACACAGCCTAATAAAATAATTAACAAGGAAACAAAGAAACGTGTTAGTAAAATTGTCATTTAATAAAATTGTTGTTAAACAAATTCTAAGCATTGATTTTTTATATCACTAGTTATTTTCAATCTGACCCAAATGATAATTTGACACTGCTAATCTATCTAATATGACATTTTATTGATTTTGAATAACCTGGTTGAATTTTGAATACAACTAAATTCATTTATTTCGTTGTATTCAAAATTCAAGACCAATTTGTCATTTGTTTTGGCTTTATAAATATTTTATTTGACTAGCAATTTTGTTTTTTTTGTTATTTTTATCACACTTTTATAAAAATTTATAAAAGATCAATTACATATTGAAATTACAATACATTTCAAAGTTTATGATTGTTTTTCTTTTCTTTGTTATTTTATGATGCAATTGACTTTGAATATTCCGGACCAGTATGTTTTACGTTACAATTTGGTCTTTGTTATATTTTATAATTAATTTTATTATTGTAATAGGTTGTGGTCATCTCAATAATTATTTAATCTGACTTTTCCATTAAACTGTGACTTGTTTCTGAAAAGATCAAGCAAAACATCGTTTTTTAAATGTTTTTGAAATAAAAATGTTTTAATTCTATTATAAATTATAATACTGTTATTATAAATAATAGTAAAAATTCAATATCATCAAATAAAAAACAGACTTGTTAAACTATTTCTATTAAATCAAGTCAATCGAATTAATCAGGGTCGGCCAAACAAACAATATTATTTTGTAAAATAAACAAGTTGTGATTGCTCTTATTAACACAAAAAATGTGACAAATGCAGCACTGTTTTACACATCAAACCTATTGTTACAAATAACATTTTAATAACACAAATAATAACGAAATAACAATCTATTAAATAATTGTATTTTTATAAATAATATGTAATAAACTTGTTTCATAAAAGCGTCATTTTTTCAGTTACGATTTTGTGAAAAATATGATAATAATTAAAAATAATTTAAAGTACTTTGGTTATTGGTCTTGCAATATTTTTGTAATTTTTTCTTGTGCACAATTTCAACCGTTCACTATAACTTTTAACTTACTTGTTAATATTTTTGATGTATTTTTTACAAACAACATGACACGCTATAAAATGTTGTCATTACTCTTGTATTATTTATTTATTATTTATATTTCAAATATTACTGCAAATTCTCAATTAGATTTAAGTCACAACTCGGAGCTGGCAATTTTTAATGATAAAAAGTTTTTATAATTCAAAAAACTAAAGTGTACAGTAAAAACTTTGAAGAGTAGGCGGGTGTGGTAATTATGTTTTTTTTCAAATTTGTACATTTTTAGCCAATCAAACATTAATTACCGCTATTTTAAAAAACTTTATTTTTTATTTCATTGAAAAATACCCTCTTTTGAGAGAATCCTCTTTTCAAAAGTACCGTTTTTGAAAAGTTTTACTGTATTTTGATTTGTGCACATTGGCGTTGTATTGTATATTTTTTTTCTTCAACTTTTTGATTACTTTTTAATTGTTTCATTTTTATTATTGTATTTCTTTTATAATGTTTTGAATATTATGAAAATTTAATACTAAGTTGATTAAAATGTAAGTTTATTGTATTGTTTTATAATTTCTATATTGATACTTATCTTTATATTTTGCTTTATATATATTATTGAGCAATAGTTGTTTGATTTTGTCAATATTTCTCCAGTTATCTAATTAATACGAACACATTTATCTTTAAAATGAATAAAACAATACAATTTTTTAGGTTAAAAATTTTTGAAGATCGATGTATTTCCAAGTAAGTCACTCCAACAATAATCGTTTACAAACTGACACATCATGATATCATGAAGACTTGTAACGTTTACTTATTATTTTTTTTTAAATTTGTTTATTATATCATCTGTAAGTAATTAAAATACCAAGTTATAATTCAACTAAATTTTAATGATCAACATATTTACTCGATATTAACAATTGATCGAATTACTCTATTAAAAAATTAAACTGAATTCGTCAATTATATCTAAAATGTATTTTAATATAAATAATGAAATACATTTTACTCAATATTTTAATCATAATAAAAATGCGAAACGATTGTTTTTATTTTTTAGTGTTAAAAATGATTTTCTTTGTTTCTAAAAATAGTAAAAATAATGACGATTTTATGGATAAGGAAAAATAACAAGGAGATAAAATAAATTCAAAATATAAAGAGG